AGGGAGCATGTACCAGATCGCAATGGAGCCCTCAGCCGTGCTGAGGCCAGTGAGCTATATCTTATATGTTTCTCTTCATTTAAGTTCAAGGAAATGTTCTAACTTAAATCACTGTCACTCCTCCCCCTCCCTAAGAAGCTTCTCTCTGGGATCCAGTTCAGAACAATATTAATCCTCATTTTTTCTTGCAAACCACTCAGAGGGTTCAGTTATCCAGCTCAGTGCTCACAAAGAAAAATGCAGACACAGACATGACAATCTCACTACCCATTTTTTCTCATGCAATTATAGCTACAAGACGCACAATCCCAAGCCCTTTTCCTACAAACTCACAATTTCTCCAGTCACAGCCACACCTTATTTGCCAGTCATTGAAGTCTCTTATCAAAATCTTCAAACCACTCCTTTTGCAGGGCCAAAAGAGCATGTGTGAAGGAGTGCACTCCACTCTTAGTACTGGCTGCTCGGCTGTGAAAAGGGGGTTACACTGAAAATCGATGCTGTGTTTTCCCTGTAGCCACAGACCCACTCGTTATAACCAGTCAGATACATTGTGAGAATGAACCACAAACTGTATGTCAGTCTAAACATCTCACACTTAATGAGCACTATCACCATCAAATATGGCTTAAATAGGTTATGTGGGGAAGAAGATGAAATTTCCCTTGGGAATTCTTCTGTAAAGGGTTAACGGTGGATTTCCACCTATTTAGTATTGCAAAAGTGTGAAGAGAAATGATAAAAACAGTGTTTTTCAAGGTCCCTTCATAGGCCTAAAGGCAATGGTCTGAGAATGACATAAACACTATAATTGTTTTAGCACATTATGTGTTTTCACACATTCTGGGATTCTTTGAACAACAACAACAACAAAATGTTCTGAGTTTCCATTCTCATTCCAAGAGAGCCCACCACCAAATCCTGACCTTGGACCCACAGGCTACTGGTAGGAAGATGTAAGAACGCAACCCCTCCTGAAGCAAGGGGGCATGGGGTTCAGGATGTGCTGCTTCTCTTGCATTGACCCTCAAAAAAAAAAGGAAAAAAAATGCAAGTTCAGATGGAAGCTATGCTTTTTTGTCTTAATCAATGTAATCTTCCCTTAATTGGTTTAGAATGTCACCAAAGAAGCAGAGTTAGAATCAGCTTCTAGCAAATGGTAAAGACCACCATCTTCCTCCTCCTTTTTTCTTTTCTTCTTCTTTTTTTTTTTTCTGGATGGGCAGGGGTCCAAACAGCCAGGACATCACCACTGTAAGGAGTGAACCTAGGCAAGCAAAAATCAAGCATGACTTGATATGCTAAAGAAACATTTGCAATTTTGAGCATGATTCCCAGAACACGCTGGCATGCTGGGAAACAGGCATGGCTCTCTAGAGCTTCTGTGGAGAAGCCAAGTGGCACAATGTGTTTGCAAGGATTTCCACAGTTTTTTTCTTACCCATGAGCCAGAGTAACAAATATATTTTACATACCTGATCAGTACACATACAAACACATTTGTATACAAATGAAAATAGTTTTATAAAACAATACCGAGCCAACTATGACATTTTCTATTGATTCTATTGCAATAAAAATGAATGAGCTGGTCCTGATCCTCTAAACTGATTTTGTGACCCCACTATAGTGGGTGGAGAGCAGCAATCTGATGGGGACACACAACCATACAAAAAGCCTGGTTTTGAAGCTGTGCTCTATTCAGAGTTAAACTGCTTGTTTAACTCTGATCAGTCCCCTTTTGGACTAGGGCTCCTCTCCTTAGCACCATTTTCTCAGAGAAAGGGGAGCTGGAAGTCCAGGGCCTTGGAGGAGGACTTAGATGGCATGCCGAAAGTTAGAAGAGCACCAAAAGCAAGAGCAAAACGGTTTGAGTACCCCAAAATAAAGCACTAGGTTTAAATTTCTCCACATAAACCTCTTGAATTGTAAAATATGTTTATATCACAAATGACCTAAAATATGGCCCAACATCAAACTGCAGTTATATTGTTCTTTCTTCATAAAGTGATGGTTTTATTTTCTTAATCATAAAATAATGATTAAGAAAATAAAATGAATGTGTTTTTTCCTATTATTATAACTGCACCAAGATGATTTAATTAATTCCAGGTTTTCTTAATCATTTCAGGCTAAAAATGTCTATGTTTACCACAAGCATTATCTGCAAGTTTAAAAGAATTACATCAAAACCTGTGTTCACAATTTTAATTTATGCACAGCTTCCTACAGAAAGCCGCCATTTAAATAGTTATCTTTTACTTTTTTGTGTTCACTCAGAAATATAACTTTATGCATTTTGGAAGACCAAAGTCAAAGTTTTTGACTTTTGAAAATGGAACTCAATTTTAGCACCAGGAATGGAAATTAGCACATGTGTGGAGGGTTTATAAGCAAGAACTGCCCTGGGCAAGTTGAAACTTTTAGTTATAACAGAAAAACACAACTTACAGCACATAACTTGTTCCCACTTGCTCTTCATTCCTTTGAGCCATTGATTTAAATTTACCACAGAAACATCAAACAGGATACACTGACGAAAGAGATGTGTAATGGTAGAAATTATGTGGGTCTAGGACTCATGCTCTTCCAATGGCTTTTAATTAAAGTTTTCTATAGGAAAAATTATTTATTAAATGTGCTATAATTGGTTGAGTAAGCAGAGCTTTTGAAACAGAGCTAGCAAATTCAACTTCATTTCATAATGGATTATCATTAGCAAGGCATGAGTTTATATGACTGGTTAATTAAGTAGAACAAGTATAATGTCTTTTTTTTAAAAGATTTTATTTATTTATTTTTAGAGAGGGAAGGGAGGGAGATAAAGAGAGAGAGAGAAACATCAATGTGCGGTTGCTGGGGGTTATGGCCTGCAACCCAGGCATGTACCCTGACTGGGAATCAAACCTGCAACACTTTGGTTTGCAGCCCGCACTCAATCCACTGAGCTACGCCAGCCAGGGTTAAGTATAATGTCTTAAGCTGAATAAAATTCAACATTTTTTATTCATCAAACCATAATCCCACATTGTGAATATAAGTTATCATAATTTTCCCTTCCATTTTCCCCCATCTCCTTTCTTCCTTCTCACCTTCCATGTCCACCCCAAACACGACCTGAGTTTCAAAAGGAAAGCACAGCCTCGCCCAGCTGGAATGAATACTACATCATATCACTACGAAACCCCCAAACTATGGTTTCCTGACCCCTAGAACAGTGTTCTATCCCTACCATGCTGCTTTGTGTAGCAAGTACAAAATGCAACCCATAATTACAGATTCAAGCTTAATTTAGGCTGCACTTGATTTATTAGTATGAGATTCAGTGGTGTCTACTGACAAGATGAAGATTTGTGAATAAAACACATTTCAATATCAAATAGAAAATAGTTTCACTTACCTGCCATTGACCCTTGAACAACATGGGTTTGAACTGTATGGGTCTACTTGTATGTGGATTTTTTTCAATAAATATACAGTTGGCCCTTTGTATCCCCAGGTTTTGCATCTGTGAATTCAATCAACCACAGATTGATATTTTCCATCCATGGTTGGGAATCTGCAGATGTGGAGGGCTAACTACATGCATTATTCTATACCATTTTTAAAAAGAGACTGAAGCACCCGTGGTTTTGACATCTATGGGCATCCTGGAACCAGTCCCCTGCAGACACTGAGAGATGACTGAGTTTGGAGGTAGTCAAAAGTTATAAATGGATTTTCAACCACTTGGGGTCAGCCCCTCTTTGCTTAACCCCACATTGCTTAAAGGTCAACTGTATACCTATGAATATTACAGATGCCAGATTTGCCTGACACACCCTGATGTGGCAAATTGTGACCAAAGGGAAAATACTACAGTCCAGTCCAATGACATCATTCTACAACTTCAAGAAATGAGTCTCAAACTTGGAGTCCACCTCAGGATTGGTTACACTGTTCCAGGCTGTGCTAGTGAAGAATCATGGAAGGGGTGCCAGACCCTTATGGAGCAGGCAAGAAGAGAAAAGATGGGAGTACAGTTAGGAAATGGGTTGTGCTAGGCTCCAAATCTCTCTAGGCCCCAAACAGGAAATACAGTTAAAGATGAGGTTCTCTTGGTGAACTTGGACCTGGGGATCCAAAAATCTCAGAGATCTGAGAGGGCACAGGAGGGCTTTTTTCAGTCCTGCATCCTTCCCAGCATTAATGAGATCAGTTCTTTCTGTACTATCACCCTCATCCTATCTGATAATGCTCTCTCTCTCTGAAGGAGGCCCCTCTCTGCCTTCCCCTGGTTACTTCTAGCTCAAAAATTACTTCTTCTGAGAAGTTCTGGCATGGGCGAGACAACTTACTGCAGTTTCCATAGCACCAGACAGAACTCTGTCATGAAACCAGTCCTCTTGCTCTGTGAGCGTCTGCCACCAGTCTACCTCCCTGACTGTGAGGTCCTTGTGCACAACAGTCAAATCTAATTTGTTTTTAGACAGTTGCTGAATACACAAACATGTATGAGTGATACAACTCTTATTCCTTCACCTTTAAAAAGAACAGTAATTTTAATGCAATCATGGCACTCATAATTACTGCCATAAGCAAATTAGAAAAATAATATTTTTTAAACAAAATAAGAACAAAGGAATCAAGGCAAATTTTTAAATTAAAGCAAAGGTTTATTTATTTATGCGTATTCAAATCAAGCAAAATATTGATGTGTTCACCTTCACTGGAATGACAACTCACCACTATATGCCCATCCAGCTGCAAAAAGGGGTGTGCTTAAAAGTTGTATTCCCTTTAATTTGCTAATCTAAACTAAGTCACATTTGCCCACATGAATTTGTTGGGAAAAATTAAACCAACCCTGTAATAATTTATACTTTTATCTTTGTACTCTGCTGGGCTGATTTCTCTGGATGTATCTGCCTGGATGATCTAGACATTTAAAAACACAAGTCTAAAGTCTGGTGATTTATCTTCCTTTCTGATCCAACATCTGCAGTGGAATTGCCGCCAAGATGCAGATTTTCATGAAAACCCTCACGGGGAAGATCATCACTCCCGAAGTTGAACCCTCAGATACAACAGGAAATGTAAAGGCCAAGATCCAGGGTAAGGAAAGAACTCCTCCTGAGCGGCAAAGACTGATCTTTGCTGGCAAGCAACTGGAAGACGGACGTACTTTGTCTGACTACAACATTCAAAAGGAGTCCACTCTTCATCTTGTGCTGAAACTTCATGGTGGTGCTAAGAAAAGGAAGAAGCCTTACTCCACTCCCAAGAAGAATCAGCATAAGAGAAAGAAGGTTAAGCTGGCTGTCCCAAACTACTACAAAGTGAATGAAAATGGCAAAATGAGTTGCCTTCATTGGGAGTGCCCTTCATATGAATGTGGTGCTGGAGTTTTGTAGCCAGCCACTTTGACAGATGTTGTTGTGGCAACTGTTGCCTGACCTACTGCTTCAACAAACCTGAAGACAAGTAATTGTACATAGGTTAATAAAAAACAAGAATTAAAAATTAAAAAAATAAATAAACAAAGTCTGGAGATTTATTCCTTTCCATGTGATGCTACTGCTTCTCCAGCACTCAGCTTCAGGAAGACATTATACATTTTTAAATATTAAATTATTTGACAATGACGAAGTGAACTTAGGATGGCATTACATACATGCATTTTTTAATGGAATTTGTTGTTTGAGATTACAAATCTGCCTGTCTGTTTGAATGAAAAGTATCTGATTATGAAATGAGCTTAAGGATGCTGATAGATTTAATACCTAATACCAGTTTAGGGAAAGCAATGAAAGCCAGCCTCAAAGATCAGGGGAGCATTTTGATGAAACATCAGGGATTTAGTTATGATAAATAAATATTTATTGACTACTTGGGGTGAACAATCAACACACTGTGTTCTGTTTAAGATATAAAAGAAACTTCACTCTCTCATTAGATTTCAGTTATTTTATCTTTAGTTACAATAGTCATGATTAGGGGGATTAATTCTAACCTATGTCCAGATCTCCAGTCAGAAAACTGGGCTTTCTGAAGTGGCTACAGATTTTAATAATGAATGCCATAAAATAAATAATAACCACTACTCACTTTTTAAACATGCATCCCCAAATTTATATTGAGGTTCATAAGAGGCCATGAATAATTAATTCATGATGAAAGACAGTGGAAAGTAAATCTATTTGTTCAAAAATCTTAAGTAGATTTTTGTGTGTTGTGGTTTATATTAACAGACAGATACCTACCATTATGATAATAAAATTAATTTTGAAAAAAATCCGAGCTCATTAAGAATAAAAAACCTGCAAAAGCAATTTTCCAGCATATCTGAATTATAAGAGATCCATCCCTGCCTTCTTAGTCTTATAATGATTCTCTAATGATTCTAGGAATCTCTGCAGAAAGCTCATTTTCGCTAATAGTATCTAATAGAAGTTACTCCCTACTCATCATGTTCTTTATTTCAAGGCTTTCAAGATCAACTGCATGGGAATAGATTACATTATTGGATGCATCCCAGTTTCCAAGACACATCAATTTCCAAATGCTTACTGCTAAGGCCACGTAGACGAGCTGAAAAAGAAGCTGAAAGGCAGCAGTTGTTCTCAGCAGCTAGAGGGGACAATTTATCAAGAAGCATTAATCTGCTGCCATGTGAGGAGCCTCCAGCAGGTTCACTTTCCATCCTGGTGAGAAAGTAATTTCTAATTATGGTTTATGGTAGTTTTCTCACCTGAAGTTACACAGCAGTTTAAGGAAATGTGTGTATTTAAAAAAGCAGTCATCCAGTCTTCTGGTAAGTAAGACATAACTACGTACCACTGTGCCTAGGCAATTCAGGGGTTTCAGGTAAATGACTGAATTATTATTTTTAACTAAAATAGAGACAACCTAGAGAAGGGAAGTAAAATAATTCACTTAGTTAATATCCAAATTAGATCATATATGGTTAATGTGTAAAATGGGATTCAGTTAGTTATTACACTTTAATATATTGATTTAATGATCTGTAATGATTAACCACAACTGGGAACAAGCACTTCAAACAAAAATGACCTTCACATTCTCATGAAGACTTCAAATCTGTCACTTATTAGCTATGTGTGATTTTGGACAAGTTATTTAACCTTTGTCACCTAAGTCTAAGTTTTGTTGTCTTTTAAATAGAGTTAATAATAATAAATACCATCTTTTGGGATTCACACACACACACAACTTGGCACATGTTAAGTAGTCATTAGACATGATCTTGATGCTCACCTTGCCTCTGGGATCAGCATAATTATGCTTTTTCCTGACCAGAGAACAAACCCAGGACCAAAACATGTAGTTCTGAATAGTTAAGTGCCCCCAAAGAAGGGGACATTCTATCCAAATATGTATTGCTCATCCCTTCCATTTATGCTCCTATGCCCCAAAGCCCCACCCCATGTCTAATCTACTTTGGAAATTTATTACCTTGTGCTAGGCACTGCTTTCTTCCAAAGAGGTCCCTAAAGATGCAAATGCTCTGGCAAAGGGTAATTAAAGCCATTATCACTTTGTGAGGATGAGTTTGTGTGTTCTTCCCCCTGGATGGAGTATCTGACATACTAATACTTGGTACCTGGGAAAGGATAGAAGAGCTGTGAAAGAAGGGCGAAAGGGCACAGGATACATTTCACAATTTTGCCTGAGTAAGCTTTGTCAGATGGTCATGTATTAGGCACTAAAAACCTTCTAGAAGGAAACTGAAGCAAATGTCATTAGTAGTTGCCTCTGTGGAAAGGAACTGAGTAGTCAGGTACGAGAGTGGGGGCTGGAGGGGGAGGGAGGGGAGGGAGGGGAAGGGTGCTTTCAGCGCATGTCCTCTTGTCCCTTTGAAATGTGGTACTTCAGGCAGGTATAACCTATCCAAATTTTTAGTTAAAAGAAAACATTCTCACACCCTGTGACTTACCTTACCTCAGTATTTTTAGATATTTGTTTATAGGACTTTGACATTTAGAAATTGATTTTTCTCTCTAAAAAGTAAGTTGGAGTCAATTAAAATGTGATTGGTTTACCAAGGCTAATGTATTTATTTCCAAAGTATTAAACATATTAAAATATTCATATTTCTGGAGATACAAAATTACTAGACAATTAACCTTTGCTGACTTTCTGTATAGACAGTTTCTTCACCAAAACTTAAGCTTACTGCAGACAGGACCTGTGATTTATTAATCTCTGGAGGCCCAACTGTGGCAAACACAGAGCTTTTCCAGAAGGATTACTTTCTTAAGTTCCATTCTCAGTCCTTTCTTCCAAGGAAGAAAAGTCATTAAACATAACGTGATGCTTTGATTAAGAAGGAAATTCTCAGGAATTTTATTAAAACAAAACAACAACAAAAGGGAGAGACAGGGAAAGGGAGAGAAAGAGAAAAATCTATACTTGTAATGAAAGTTTTGGGATTCTACAGCGTGGGAATGCTTGCAAAACACCAGCTATGTCACAATGAGGAAAAACTAGGTTGGTCTAAAATCACTGACACATTTGTTCAAAAATGTACTTGTTGCATGGCTATTGTGTGCAAGGCCTTGGGGATATAATGTTGAACATGGCAGACATGACCCCTGCTCTCACGATTTTCATAATAGTGGGAGATACAGAGAGGTAAACAGGCAACTACCACGTGGTGTGATAAGTACCATAAAAGGGAGGACAGAGGGCTGGTTATGGGTGCTCATAAAAGGGGAACGAATCTTATGTTTGGGAAAGTGATATCTAGTATCACACTGACTGGGACTAGAGCTTTGGAGTCCTGCAAACCTGAGTTCAAATCTTGGTTTCACTGGTTTCAATCTATAACCTTGGCCAATTTATTTAATCTCTCTAAGCCTCAATTTCATTAACTTTGAAGCAGGAATAATGCTACATTGAGCTTAAAGGGCTGATGTGAACACGCATTGAAATTCATGTCATAAATCTGGCAGAATGTTTGGTAAATGGCAAGCACCCAATAAAGATTTGCCAATAATTTTAATGGGAATAGTAAATGAAGAACTGAAGCATGAGTACAACTAGGTAAAGTGGGTAGAGGAGGGTAGAAGAGCATCCCACGCAAAGGACAAATGCATACCCAGGAAAGCAACACCATGGTGAGCTTGAGGCAGCTGGGGTGGGGTCAGAGGTGCAGCTGAAGCTGAAAAGCAAACAGAGCTAAGCTCAATGGGTTTGTCAAGTTTGTTAAAGACCCCTCAAGACTTTTAATCACAGGCAGGGCAGGATCAGATTTGAGTTTTAGAAAAACCAGCTTGGCCACATGTGGAGAATGGAATGGAGGGTGAGGAGACAGCAGGCAAGGGGATCAGTAATAATAATTTGAAAACAATGCTTGGCTATGGAATTTCACAGTTAGGAAGGCAGGTGTCTCATTAAAAATATACCTTAAAAACACTCCAATAAGGGCCTTAACATAATTATTATCAGCTTGTTGGTATTAGCTAATTAGCATTTCATTCATTCAGTCACTCAACAAGCATGTGTTAACACTACTGAGGATGAGAACTGGTGCACTGAAAGAGTTCAAACAGAGCTGGTTACTCTGCCTGGCTTGCTTTCTAGAAGCATCCATTCCCAAATGACTTGGTTGGAAGGTCTGTTACTCTGGTGACCCAGATCACGTGCAATGGCAAAGGTGTTTTCAGAGAGACCACACCAGCAGGAAGCTCAAACTGGGAGGCAGTGCTACATAGATTAGGATGGAACCTAAGTCGTGAAGATGACTCCCCTTCACCCTGGGAAGGGAAAATGTCATGTTAGTTACATCACTGTACATTAGGCTTCTTATTGCTCGAGAAAGAGTAAATCTTCCATGACCCATTGTTAAATGAACAGTAACCAATGTTCATAAAATGTTCTGTCCTATAAATTTCAGGTGTATTAATACATGCATTACAACAACTCTATGAGGTAGGTATGTGTCCACTTTACAGGTGAGAAAACTGAGGCAGGAGATACTCCCCAACATCACAGAATTAGATACAGTTTGATGTTCTTATCCACTACATTATGTGGCCTCTGGCAGTGGGCCACCAGGCTGATGTAAGAGTAAACTCAATTTAAAATGTATGCCTCAAAAATCTGACAGGGAAGAAAGATTATTGCCCACTTTAGTATCAGGAAGGCCAAAATTTGGAAGGTTTTATTATAGGAATAAAATGAAATGGGTGATTAAATATGTGACAGTCTCTTAACAGGAAATTGAACTACTATGCTCATTAAATGAGTACTATTTTGAAATGGCTTTTGAAATCTATTTTACTTCTTTAAGTACAAACCACAGCTCTGCTATATGGCCTAGGACACATTAGAAAGTATTGAAGTAGAGTTGTATGCTTACCACTTTAAAATAGAGTGGGTCATCTCACAGACTCAAAGATGGAGAGGTATTGCAAAAGAGATAAAAGCTAGAAAAATCAGACCTGTTACTTTTTTGGTTTTCTGCAAAGGTATAGTGAAAAAAAAATGCTCATTATCTCATTGAGAAATAAATGGAACATGCTTATTCCCTCAGAACATGTAAGGTTCTATCAACCAAGCAATGAAGCATGTGTAGAATATGCTCTAAGAGGCGTTTGAAAAATGAATTGAATAAAGGCAAAATAGGAAGAAAAAACCCCTCTAATCCTCCAGATATGAAAGAAACCACCAGCTTTCTGCAATGCCACTTCATGCCAATAGCAACACAGTCTTGAGCCTGAGCTCTCAGAGGGCAATGAGAGAAATCCCAGCCCATATGGCATTTTTAAATCCAATCTCACTCTATTTGTCTCTTCCCACAAGCCTACCTTGTGTTTAAAGCAATCACGGCCATGTTCACAGCTGCAATATTCTAAAGTAGTCACTATCCCCTGAGAACACAAAAATACCTAATTCTTACGAATTAAAAAATATTGAGGATAAAAACTATGGAATTTGTGAAACAACCATTTTTAATTAAACACACACACACACACACACACACACACACACACGAGCGTGCACACACACTGAAAGCCGAGTACAGCTTTTCAACTTAGCCTATTTCATGCTCACATTTGACCCCAGTTCACCAACAAACCACTCTCCTTGTATTTATTCACTTGCCAGTCCCTATCTGCGGACTCACTTTCAACCCCTGAAAAGTAACTTGAGACATCCTGTGTCCGTGCGAACCGACACCCCCTTAATTCATATGACCCGCCCTACTCCCAGCTCCAGGTAGGACTTGGGGGGGTCCAGTGTCACCAGGTGACATTACCCCCTGGAGTCCTAGCCCAGCCTCCACTCGCCTGCTCCGAGCAGCGCCCTTCTCTGGCAAACACTCTGGGTTGTACTGTCTTTGCTGCTTTGTAATTTTTACAAATAAAAATGCTTGTAAGATGGATTCCCCACCCCACCCACCTGCCCGAGTCTGCACAACCACTCAATCGGGTCCTCTCCAAGGCACCCGTGCTGCGCCAGCAGCGGGGAGGCGTGAACAATGAGCTTCTCTCTCTTTGCCTCGCTTTTACACACCCTCATCCCCAACTGGGAAGTTTTGAACTAGCCCGGGGGCCAGTTCCGCGATTCCCCGGGCAACTTCGTCTGGAGCATCAAGGGAGGGCCCCGCGCGCGGCCCCGGCCGCGCCCCTCGCGTTGCCCGGCGGGCAGTTACCTCCTTCCTCCGGCTCGGTGCCCCGGGTCGGGTGATGAGGGCCGTCTCCTCGCACACCACGGCCACGTCCTCCACGAACACGCAGTCCGGTAGGCTCTCGTCGGCCGGCAGCGTCACCACCTGCAGCCCCAGTTTACTACCCAACACGCCCACGTAGAGCTGATACTGCCGCTCCGCGCGGGCGAAATCCACCTCGTCGCCCTTGGCGCGCCTCAGCGCGTGCTGGCAGAGGGACTCGGGCAGCGCCCGAACCACGGCGTGGGTGGCTCGGCCGAAGGCGGAGGGGTGGCCGAGGGATGCCATGGCTCCGGGCAGCGGCGAGGCAGCGGCTCCGGGCAGCGGCAGGTCCTCCCGCGAGCAGCGCGCGCCGAGCCTGCGAGCGCCCCGCGGCTCCCCTTGGCAGCCGGCGAACGTGGTACTAAAGCAGCCCGCTCGCGCCCGGAGCCCTGCCCGCGCGACTGAGCATGCCCAGAGCCCGGGGCGCCGGCCCGCGCGCAGCCCGCGCGCCCACCCGGCGCTCCAGGGTTTTGCTGCAGCCGAGGGGGAGTGGAAGTGGCGAGCACGGCACGGGGAGTGGGGCTGGGGGAGGCCAGTGTGGAGCGGGAAGTGTGAAAGGTGGGCGCAGGTGCGGGAACCTGTTCAGCGAACAGTCACCGAACTCAGACCTGACGCTGCCTTTATTCAGGCGCAGGTGCACACTACTCATCTTCTAGGCGAACTTGGAGATGGCAGCTGAAGGGCTTCTTGGTGGTCAGGCGGCAAACGATGGGATTATTCTTTTGTGGATACATACTTTGACCTTTCTCCCTATTCTCCTGTTCTCAGGTTGCCCAGCACGTAGTACCCTCCATCCCCCAGTTCTTAAGGTGAGACTGTCTTCTCACCCAGGTTCACATTATCTTGACTGTCTTTGCAAATGGCCCCTTACCCCATGTGAGATACAAGATTACGAAAAAATTGAATTCCTGTCGTTGAGAAAGAGGAAGAGTCCACGAAACACATACAAAGAGAAAAAAAGAGGCACAAATACTCAACAGTATTTCAAGGACAATCAGGTGTCACAAACAATGTGATTCTGGCATGTTCGTTTGCAGGGCCCACAGAGGAAGGGAGGCAAAGACCAAACGTGCTTTCCTCGCAGTAGGCGCGTGCTCACCTTGAGCAGTGTCGGAGGTGTAGCAGAATCACAATTCCTAGTCATTGAGTGAGAGGGTTTCTAATCTCCTCCTTGACCTTCCTTTCATGCCTGTACAACTCTGTGGAATTCCCGTGGTGTCTGTTGAACGTTTCTTTAACCCTACCCCTCAGGGAAGGCCTTTTCCTTCTTAATGGCACTAAACGTTTTTCCCATCGTACATCTCCCTGATTAAATAACCCATGGGTTCTGATTATTTTGGGGGGTTGGGGAGATAACCACTTTAAAAACTAGGTTGTAACTACAAAATAATCTCAGGTGATATCTTTTGTTCACATTCTGTAGAACATTTCTAATGTAAAGATCTATTCGATCCTAGAATATTAGATTTGAATGGGACCCCGGAAACCCTCTCATCTAACTTCCTACTCAATGTCCTTGAATTACAGTGAAAACACCTATGGCAGTCATTGATCTTTACTGAAATATTTTAAACATCACATACTTAGAAAGTGTATTCCACTGTTGATGAGTAATATGGTTAAAAACTTCATTTTGGGCTTACTTCCCAGTGGTTCAAGTTCTGCCTCCTGATATTACCTAACATGCTAGTGTTCCTTCACCAGAGCGCATTCATACGTCTGAAGACAGTTCGGATATCCTGCCCCACTCTCTTCCCACCCACCATCCCAACACCTTCCAGGCCTTGAGCCAGGACCAGCAAAAAGTAACTAGATATTTGGTTTATAAGTCCCTTCAACATTCTGGTCATCTTCCTTTTGGTACACGCCAATAATCCTTTTAAATCATGGTATCCTGAAAAGAAACAATTCTTCCTCTGTGGTCTGACACCACAAAGACTACAGCAAAAACTTTGTTCTAGATGCTAGGCTTCTAATAGTACTGACAAATATCGTGTTTGCTTTTTTGGCAGTCTCTTGCCAAGGATCAGGTCACAACCTTCTTACCAGAACCCTGATCCTAGACTTTGGGAAATAAAGCTTTCTAGAAGCAGATCTAACTGAGGATGTTGGAACAGGTGTGCCAAGTGAGCCCAGAGGAGATGTGATCTGCTTTCTCTCCCTTCTTCCAAGGGTAAAACTTAAATTTACTTAGGTGATATAGCATTTCTCACCTTCAGAAATTAGGGGTCTTGCTCTGGCTGGTATGGCTCAGTGGATTGAGTGCCAGCCTTCGAACCAAAGGGTCAGTTCCCAGTCAGGGCACATGCCTGGGTTGCGGGCCAGGTCCCCACTAAGGGGTGTGCAAGAGGCCACTACACATTGATGTTTCTCACCCTCTCTTTCTTCCTCCCTTCCCCCATCTCTAAAAGTAAATAAATAAAATATTCAAAAAAATTAAGCGTCTTAAGTGAAGGACAGCTCCTACCGTGACATGGGGGAATGGGACCAAAAGGAAAATAGCAAACCTTTTTACTAGGTTCTACTTCTGAGGCAAAACTTAAGGGGACCCAGGCTTCCCCACTGGCACCAACTTAGTGTCAGAATTCACTGAATGGAATGCTCGGTGTATTCCAACCAATGCTACAGGTGAATGTTGGCCCAGGTGCTGAGCTTGCCCAAATTAAAATATGGAACTTTGTTCACACCTCTACCACAAATTGAGGCTCCATCCACCTCCGGTTGGATGGAATCTCTAGCAGTTGGCCTTTACCTAGCAACCTTAATTCATGCCTGAACCTTGTTACAAGCCTAATGCTTTGCCTGACACCCAGTGCCCTGAGCCTAACTATGAACAGAGTCCTGTATACCATTTTTAGCTCATGTCAGCCTTGCAACCAATTAAAATCTGCAAATTTTTCTCTAAATATTGATGTTGACTATATTAAATTGGTCTGCTGGTTTTAAAAGTCTTAATTTGTACTTATCCCTATTAAATGTTATCTGGTTCAACCCAACTTGCCTAGTTTTGATTCTGTTATCTTATGCATTATTTATTACCTTTCGCTTTGTGTCATCTGAAATTTGATAAGTATGCCTTCTGTCTCCTCCAAGCAGTTGTCAAAAAGTGTTAGAATGTGTATACCAGTGAAGAGAATAATAAAAACACCAACTGCAGTAAATTATAGTTTACATGCTTTCCTGCTTGAGTGATGAAGTAGTGTTTTTCAGAAAATGGATTTTATTGAGCCTAATATATTTATAAATTCATTTCCCCTACAAATACTTATTGAAAATTCCCAAGGCATAATATGCACTTCTGAGTCACACAAAAAGCATAAAAACAAGAGCTCACAATCTCACTGGAAAAACAAGACATCCAAAATTGGAGATACGATAGGGTACATAACATGTAGAGGCAGCAAAATGCTACAGGAAGTTGGGTGAAAGATGTATCACTGAGGCTAATGGGAATGGAAGAAAGCTGCTTAAAGGAAATTGTACTTTATTTAGGCATTGAATAATTTTTAGGATGTTAATAATTAAGAATTCTAATGAAAAGTGAGTGTTACAGCCATACATATGCTCAAAGCACAATAGATCACCTCAATTCATACATGTATCAGTTAAGGTAACTCTAGCTGCTATAACAAAAGAACTCCAACACATACATGGCACAAAGTTGACAGAAGGGCATCTCTTGTTCTCTTGAAGTCTAACACACATGTTCCTAATTGGTTCCCAACTTTTCTCCAACATTCAGGGATCCAGCCTTCTTCCATATGGTGGCTCCAGCTCTTCAAAAGTTGGCATCAAGTTCATTATGCTCACTTTCCTCAAGCTGAAAGAATGAGAAAGAACAGGCAGCGCTATGTGTGAGAGACTTAATGCACATCACCCCTGCTCACATTCCTCTGGCTTGAACCCAGTGACATAGCTACAACAGTCACAGGGAAGGTCTGGAAAATATAGCCTCTGTGGGCCCAGAAGGAAAATGAAAGAGGTCAGGGAAATAGCTAGCTAGTTTCTTCCCCAGAGTGCAGTGAGGAAAATGGGAAGTAAAGGTAGATAGGTTCACTAAGCTTTTATCACTTGAGCAACGGAGAGACATATGGTATGGAGAATGAGTATAGCTTCTGGAGCCAGACTGTGGGTAGAAGCTTGGCTCTTCCATTTTTATTATTGTATGACCTTAGACATGTTACTTAAAAGCTCTTTGCCTTAGTTTCATCTTCATTTGTAACATGGGAAATGATGAATACATTATCATAGAATAATTATAAAGGCTAAATCAGTAATTCAAAGTGCTTTGAGAAGTGCTTGTAATAGTACTTAGCACCTAGTAGGTACTCAATGAGTATTATTCTTTGACAGGTTTGAACAAAAGGCTTTGAACATGATTTTCTACCAAAGGCCAAACCACATATCCATGTTTATTGAATAATCGGAGTCATACAGGCATCTTGATGCTTCAACAGAACCCATCGTCTTCCTAGGTTGACAGACCAAATCTCATCCATACATTTAATCGTAGATTTAATACATATTTATTGAACCCTTACTATATGCAAGGTACTGTGCTAGGCACTGCGTGTAATTGTGAATGATAGTGTCGGCCTTCTGGTCAAATTGCTCCTTTTGCTCTTCCACACATTTCAAAACCTTTGTGATTAATTCCCTGATTAAATCCCTCTATTTGAAATACCTAGAGCTGTTCTCTTTTCCTGGCTGAACACTGACTGATAAATATTTTTTCTTTTTCATTGATAATGTTGCTGGTACTTGCCTTTGAAGTCAATTTTAGATAACAACTATTTCAGGATTCAACAGAGATGTTCTTGCCTTATTGCTTTCTTATTCATTCTAGTAAATAAAATATTTACTTTTATTGGTGACGGGTGTTTGGGGTGGGAATCCTGAAAGAGACTGAGGACTCAAGGCTGTACTCATCCATCCCAAGTGCTAGAAATACTGAGTCAAGTAAGTACCATAAGTCTGCAATCTGACACTAAGTCTTAAGTGTCCCCACATGAGAGTCATTAAATTTGACACATAAACCTTTACTGTGACAGAAACCCACTGGTACAGAATTCCTTTGACATCCAAGGAGTGAGTGGTGTTTGGTTGAATGGGCGAGCACTGGGTTACAGACTAGGAGATGGCCACTTTCATGGTAGCCAGGGTTCTGGTTCCTAAAGCCAAGATGTGTAGCCTCCTAACCTTGGTTTCTCCAACTTTCACCTGGGAATTCATTCATTAGACAAACAATTACCAAGTATCTACAATGTGTATGGTAGAGGAATGCATAAAAGCAGTGACTAAGGCATCATGTACCTGACTTTGACTCCTGGCCTTCCTCCATTTAGTTGTGTAAACTTACTGTGCTCCAGACTCACGCTC